GGGGGGGGGGGTAACGTGTCTTTTCGTTCTGTACGAATTTTGTTTTGTACGTATTTTAAATACAAAGAATATACATGTAAGAAAAATTCGAAATTGGAAAATCTGTTCGCCATGTGCCTGTTTTGTTATAGATCTAGACCGTATAATAATATTATTATATGCTTATACTTTTCAAGTATTACTTCTTTTCACGAGTCATCATTGCTGTCCTAATTTTTATAAGTACGTATAATGGGAGCTCTTACAATGGAGAAAGCAGAAGCCTCAATTCACCTTAACACTTCTTTCTTTTGTTCCTCTCCTGAAACATTCCCCTCCTCTGAAAATGCAATGGACATTGCCATGCATTGACGAACGAACTATTAACATTATATGATAAAAGAGTAGTGTAAAGTTTTGGAAGTTTATTTGATGAGTGAACATCGTTATCGGAACAATGCTTATTAAAAGGTATAATCTCGACTCTGCACAGGAGGCAGCTCATTATTCATCTAAAACTCCGCATTCGGAAGCCCAACACGCTGATTTCCTTCCCTTTATTTCTATTCTGCTGATTGCTCAACCAACGCACAAGCCAAGTGCGGCGAGGAACAGACAAGGATATAATGCAGTTACCGAACCAGCCTAATGTAACACACGGCACACACAGCACACACAGAGCACTATCTAATATTGGTGTGACGCAACAACAAAAACATTCATATAGGTCAAAATTTGCCCATTGAGAAATGCATTATGCTCTGATTTGGGACACTTTTCTGAGTAATTTGAACTATATTTTATCACCATATCTTAAAAGGTTCAAAGGTTATGACTATGAATGACGTAGGACAGCGAAAACATACAACTTGAGAAAATTACGTTTTAAGTCAAGACATACATTTATAAGCACAAATCAAATATATTTATAACTATTTTAGGTTATTCAAAATGCAAATAACGTTCCCAGGTAAATAGGCTCAAATTTCAAAACAAGGGATGTAAAGGCCATTTGTTGGATCAAGGGTTGGGTCAAGAAAACATAAATAAACCTGTGTTAACAAAGATTTCGCCGATATTTTCACTTGGGTGATGGGGTGAGGGGGG